AAGACGCTATCACATGGTGGTACTTATCAAGACGCTATCACATGGTGGTATTTATCAAGACGCTATCACATGGTGGTATTTATCAAGACGCTATCACATGGTGGTATTTATCAAGACGTTATCACATGGTGGTATTTATCAAGACGCTATCACATACTGGTATTCATCAAGACGCTATCACATACTGGTATTCATCAAGACGCTATCACATGCTGGTATTCATCAAGACGTTATCACATGCTTGTATTTATCAACACATGTATTTCTTCCCATGACTTAGTGAGCCACTTGAAACCGGAAAATACAAATTCGTGGTCTTTCAAGTGACCAAATCAGAAATTTTGGATATCAAAATATAAAACCCAATAATTCATTTGTTTACCTCAGAAACATACCCTGGTTTTATTAAACATTGAAGAGGGATATTGAAACGCAACAAAATATGTATAACAGTTAAAAATTATCCAATAATCTGAATCATCCTTCAAACCCAAAAGTGTTTATAAAGAAGACGATCATTTCCAACAAATTAATCAATTTGTCAGTTTTCTTGTGTTCCTCGTTTACAATTTAGAAGTAAACGAAAATTCTATCCTCACAGTGTAAAATCATTTATACGATCGCTTGAAAGATCACACGGTAACTTAGAAACATTGTGACTGAACTATCACTGGTATTCTATATGATAATTGAGAAACATTGTGACTAAACTATCACTGTTTATTCTATATGATAATTGAGAAACATTGTGACTAAACTATCACTGTTTGTTCTATATGAAACTAATTCACACTGTTGGTAAAAGTTGCACGTCTTTACTGATATAAAACATATCTATGTATCATATACAACTGACTAACATTTTCCAACTGACCAACTTTTAATGTCATTGCTGCCACTATCAAAAGTATAATATCGTAAAACATAGTGCTATATTAGTAACTGTAATGCCAACCTAGGGCTACAAAATACTTTTAATATAGAACTTGCTTTGTTTATTTGTTGTTAAGCGCAAAACTATACGATAGTCTACTTGTGTTGTGCCCACCACGAGTATCCACACCCGGTATTTAGCAGTGTCAGCCCTCGGGCTAACTGTTGAACTACTGGGGAGGGGGGCTTTTTCTTTTGCACAATAAGATTGCTCAAGTACTATAGCAATATATCTGCGGACTTACAACGCTAGAAACCGGGTTTCGAAACCCATGTTGGGCAGAGTACAGATAGCCCATTGTGTAACTTTGTGCTTAGCTACAAACTATGATTCATTTATCATATTTCATAATCCTAAATTTGCGAGTTAACCAGGCCAACATCCCTAACATATGGTGATACATTTTCACAACTTATCCGGCAGCATTAATTTTTCACCTTGGATTATTGTCTCGTTTAGACGCGGACCTAAAGAGTCCGAAAACAGGCAAAAAACACTAAAACAGATTCTGGTACAACTTCCAAAGTGGTTGTCAAACTTGACGAAGGTCGACTGCATAAGTTGGAGGAAAACTTAAGTCTTTGAGCATAAATAATAACCAGAAGTTTTTGAATAAGAATGGTAACAGACAAAGTATACAACCTTTACGAAATGTTTCATCAAAGGGAAAAATGGGTGTGTTTCAAGATGAACTTCAATCACAGTCTTCAAGATATACTTACGCAACAGCAGCTTTTGCTTTAGAAGAAGCTTTTTTGTTTCACTTCTAGTTTGTTTTTTGTTGTTTTTTCAAAGTTTCTTTTTTCCTTCTTTCCATGAATATCCTATTGTTTCACATCTATATCGACTGCTTTTATTGCACTAGAAAATACCTTTTCATTTTACAGTTGTAAGAAACGTAGTGCATAGAATCGTCTTCTGGTGTTTTCATAAAGTTCTAACTTCATTTTCTACACTGTAAAACAGGAAATACCAGGAAAAAAAGTTCTATTCTCATTTTCTACACTGTAAAACAGGAAAAAAAAGTCCTAATTCATTTTCTACACTGTAAAATAGGAAATACCACAAGAAAAAAGTGCTAACTTCATTTTCTGCACTGTAAAACAGGAAATACCACAGGAAAAAAAGTCCTAACTTCATTTTCTGTACTATAAAAGAGAAAATACCACAAGAAAAAAAGTCCTAACTTCATTTTCTACACTGTAAAACAGAAAATACCACAAGAAAAAAAGTCCTAACTTCATTTTCTACACTGTAAAACAGGAAATACCACAGGAAAAAAAGTCCTAACTTCATTTTCTACACTGTAAAACAGGAAATACCACAGGAAAAAAAGTCCTAACTTCATTTTCTACACTGTAAAACAGGAAACATCACAGGGAAAAAACCCAACTGAACGGATGTTTGTTCAGAAAAGTGAAAATATTGGTCAAAGAATGTTGAATAACTCCACATTTTTCTTCATGCACAGGATAGATTCATATATAATGCACATATAACGTTTAATAAATTCGAACATTTTCCGTATGATACATACTCCAGATTCATTACCAATCTAGGTGTGGTTAAGTTGCTAATTTAGAGGTTACGATTACAAATATTTACAAGGATAAACATTAAAATAATTTACTGAAAAAAAATCCAACTATGGTGTAATAAATATCGGGCTTGAAAACTGGATTTTTACTAACACCAATCTATCATATTTGATTCAAACTTTGCATATCAGGTTTTAGTGTATTTAAAAAAACTTGTGAGTTAAAAAAAATAAGGAAGGGTGTATAATAACATAGCTATTACACCATATCTGATACATCCAGTGTTGACGAGGCCTTTCGTCCAATACCAGGGTTCTTGAGGCCAGGTGGGGCACGACTGACATAGTAATGGTCGAAACGCTATTTATGATAGCAAATTTCTTGAACAACAAATTTGTGAAGTGTATTTTTATCAATTTTATTTATATCACAACATATCAGAGTTAGAGTAAGGGTTTTTAGCACAATATTATATAGTTATCCTAACACTAGATGCTAATTAAAAATGTGAGAAAGGCATTACCAAATCGTTTGAAATATCTTGCATTAACTGGAACAAACACTAAGAAAGATTTAATCATCGGCTTAAACATTTTTAACATTTAAGGAAAGAAAATACTAAAGGGTGTGACCTAACTCCCCCCTCCCAAAAAAAAACCCCACTACCAAACCCTTGTTACACCTTATAACATGCCCTATTAGGTTCAGGTGTGGGAAAAATACAGTTGGCCACATAAAATGTCAATAAAAGTCAACAATGACTGATGTTAACAGTACAATTCCAAGCTCAAGGTGTTTAACTTAGTCCGTGATAGATGGGAACATTGACTCTTAAGATACTATTAGTTTGGGCTGTAATAACGGGCTCCAATACATAAAGCATACATCTATGTGCATAATTTTGTCTACAAACCTGTTCGCCAGGCACGATTGCTAATTATCAAGCATGTCTGTAACACGCTGTTTAGGGTTGCTTTAGTATGGGTATGATAACTATTTTATGATTGAATAGCTAGTAGGAGGGTAAGCAATTTAAATATCGTATGTTTGAAATATGAATATCAATCATAGCAATGTCCCAGTTGTTTTGAGTACGCGAAAATGTTTTGAACCGCGAAATCAGAAGCGACAAACCTGTGTTTATACGTTATCTAACGTAATTGATTCTCCCTGGTCTAAAGAAGAAAAAAAAAAGAGCTAAATATAAAAAAAGAATTCAGGCAGACTTATGTAACAGATTTCTTGAAGTACATTATATATCACCAGATATATATTTGAAATAATTCATAATTAAATGACAGTGTATATGATGGTCACCAGATATATATTTGAAATAAATTGTTATTAAGTGACAGTGCATTTTATGGTCATCAGATACATATTTGAAATAATTAGTAATTAAATGACGCTGTATTTGGGGCTCTCCAGATATATATTTGAAATAATTCGTAATTAAATGACAGTGTATTTAATGGTCACCAGATATATATTTGAAATAATTCGTAATTAAATGACGCTGTATTTGGGGCTCTCCAGATATATATTTGAAATAATTCGTAATTAAATGACATGTATTTAATGGTCACCAGATATATATTTGAAATAATTCGTAATTAAATGACGCTGTATTTGGGGCTCTCCAGATATATATTTGAAGTAATTCGTAATTAAATGACAGTGTATTTAATGGGCACCAGATATATTTGAAATAATTCGTAAATAGATAATTGTGTATTTAATGGTCACCAGATATATTTGAAATAAATCGTTATTAAATAATAGTGTATTTAAGGATCAAACTATTCCTTAGTGTATGCATGAAATAAATTATATTAAACATTTTTTTCCAAACCACAAAAAAATTATGTGGAAAATTACATATTTTAAAGCAAATAATGTAATTTAATTGTCATATTAAACGTTGTAGAAGGTTCGCAGAATGCTATTACTATATAGTTTATCCTGCTTGGAAGTAAGATTTTGTAATGGGATAATGAAAGAAAAACTCAGACTTCCTCCACTTTCCAAGTAATAGTAATATTTAGTTCTAGACTAAAAGACTGTTTTCCACTTACCTGTGCTTGTTCAAGATACCTCTCTAGCTCCCAATAAGGGTCGCTCACGGGTTGCACGGCCGCCATGATCTGTGTAAAACGTCCATCCGCCGTCAACTTGTGTTAGAATCAATAGCAATGGCACACGGATGCTTCTACCACGAAAGTTGTTATTCTTTACGGCCTGTAACAAAAACTGAAGTTTAACAATCAGTGAGGAAGCAAGTTGAAAATAAAAACAAATCTTGGTTAATGTCGAAGAACATGCACACACACACAGTAATGTGTTGTGTAGTTTTTGTGTGACAACTACAGACGTACTAATTCATGCTGATGTGAAAGCCGAGAACATTTTTCGTCAACGTCATTGTATTGTTAACGACCACCTTAAATGATTTTTATGTTAATATTGACTTAAGACAGACAAGACAAAATGGCGCATCTAACGAGGTGGGAAATAATTAATTAAACTAAAATTTTCTTTTCAATTGCTGCCGTTTCTTAGATGTTATCCTTGTCTTTTTTCAAGATCGTGGCGCATTTTTCTCTGAATGTTATCCTTGTCTTTTTTTCAAAATCGTGGCGCATTTTCCTGTGCGTACAATGAGGTTTCAAGATGCGTTCAAACTCAGGTCACGTGCTCTTATATAATGTAAAAGCTAATCAACGACCCTAATAGACTTATTGGCCCACGTTCCAACGTCAACAGCCAACTGTGTGCCATATGCTTGTTCAGATGGTCGTATCGAGTATCTGAGTTTCACGTTCTCATGATGGTTCCCGGTCGCCACTTGCTAAGAAAAGGGGCCGGCCAGATGCAGAGGTCGCAATGTGGTGCTCGTTTAAAATCTCTGTAGAGGTGTTTTCTTTCAAGGGAAGAGTAAACGATGGGAAGAGATATTACGCTGTATTAAATAAAATAATAAAACGAAAATCAGCGTTTTTTTTTACTTGCACAATCATTTATTTGTAAAGATAAACAAATTAAAAATATATATAAGTTAAAAGAAACTTAACTTAGATATATTTTTAATTTTTTAATCTTTACAAATAAATGATTGTGCAAGTAAAAAAACAAAAAAAAACGTTGATTTTCGTTTTATTATTTTATTTAACATTTTTGCACAAGAATTGTCTGTCTTACGTATTACGCTGTATTATCTGGTGACAGTCGTGTGTATGATTCAACGGGATATTCGACTATCGAACTAAGCGGTTCACCTTATACAACAGTCTTATATCAAAATCTAATCAAAGCCGAAATAGCTTTCAGGTGTGATTCGATAAAACAATAATACTTGTCGAACCTGTATTAAACAATATGCTTCAGTGGCTTTGTCGTTCTCTGTGCATAGCATAGGAATATACGATATGCTATGCACACAAACATACTTAAGTATTTGAATTTATTACACTTACTCCTCATGGAAAATGATAATTTACATCAAGTAACTCAAAGTATGAGGGTATTTACTTATCGTCTAACACGTTAGCCAAAGGGGCATAATAAACCAGTATTTTTAATCAATAACTCTGAACAAAAGTAAGCTAGCTCTATTTATCAGTACTAAAAATAATAGCTTGTGAATTAATAAAGCTAATTTTGTATATAACACTAACAAAAGGTACACAATGTTATAAATAGTTAAACTAAAGCCGATAATGATTAGGATGAATTGAATCATAACGTGGGTACGGTAGCAACAGTATTTTTAGTCGTAAGCTCGATTATATCACACGAGGATTTAGGTTGGTCCTAAATCCATATATTAAGATATATGCAAACTAATTTTCAGTGTTGTAAAAGTATAAATCACAAGTGACGATAGTTAACGAAACTAACTTTAAAGAGTCATGTTTGCAAAACTACGAAGATATTTTTTGTATATGTACGTTCAACTATTGCGATACCTGTTTTATTAAATGATATGATTTTATCATGTTCACCTAACAAATATTGATATTAATCGAAACAAGCAGTGTGAATTGTACCGAATGTTAACTTCATAACGGAGTAAACAGTGTGAATTGTACCGAGTGTTAACTTTATCCTTAACGGCATTAGCATACACCTAATAGATAAGTATGACAAAAATCACATTGAAAAGAAATAAACTAAGCAAGTCAAAAGTGTACCAAATGTAGAAACTACAAAACGTAACATTTTGAAACGAATAACTGCTCCAAATTATGATTAGAGATAGCCTGTCTCTCCAGTTGTCCAGGTAAAAAATTAGTGTATTAACAACAGGCTCAGATACTGTAGCCTACAAGTTCTCTAGTTGAACTACACATCCAATCATTCCCCAGTAATTCAGCGTTAAATCTGAAGACTTATAACGTTAAAAACTAGGTTTCGATACCTGAGATGGGCATAGCACAGATAGCTCATTGTGTAGCTTTGTGCTTAATGTCAAACAAATAAGCTCATCTACTCTTCGCTTCCAGTTGTGGACATGGTAATTAATCCTTAATACCAATTAACATAAAAATACACTACCCATCAATATAGTTAATAATATAACCCTTAATACCAATTAACATAAAAATACACTACCCATCAATATAGTTAATAATATAAGCCTTAATACCAATTAACATAAAAATACACTACCCATCAATATAGTTAATAATATAACCCTTAATTCCAATTAACATAAAAATACACTACCCATCAATATAGTTAATAATATAAGCCTTAATACCAATTAACATAAAAATACACTACCCATCAATATAGTT